GCACACGCCCAGTGCGAATAATGACATCAGGAAGGTCACGTGACTGTAAGGCCTGTATGTATTTGTTAAAGGTTTATAATGCATGTCCAACGTTACATGAAGCATACCCCTTTCATTCCCTTCAATGCATTCATTTCTATTATTATAGTTTGTAATGTTATAATCATGAGGTCCTCATTCTTTTAATTGCCGGTTTCAATAAGAGTTCAAAGCCAATGTGATTGTAGCATTAATTTCTCAAATTAAAAAAACATGATCAATAACAATAGAATAAGAACACGAAGAGAAAATGGAAAAGGAGGAGAGAAAGAAGAAGAAGAAGATAATAATGAAGAAAAAACAAATGTAGTTACTTATATTTATTGGATTTATAGAAGAAGATAACATATATTTTCTTCTTCTGGAGACTAGATTCACCTATTGTGCAAAAAAGCGTCACTAAGATCGACATGTCTCATGTGTATAATTAATTTCCATTGTAAATTAATTCGTAATATTTTGTAAAAGGAAAACTACCTTACGTAATGATGTTAAAAGTTGATTTCTTTCTTCTTGTGTTGTTGGTCCTTCGTCATCATCTTCTTCTCTTTTCTCTCCGTCTTCTTTTACTTCTTCTTTTTTTTTTCATCTTTCGCTTAACCTTATCCTTATTTCTTTTTCTAATTCTTTTTTCCTCTTCTTCTTCCTCTTCTTCTTCCTCTTCTTCTTCCTCTCCTTCTTCTCCCTTTTTCTCCTTCTCCCTTTTCTCTTTGTGTTCTTATTCTTCTGTTACTAACTTAAAGGCTGTTTAATCATGTCTTTTGACTGTGAGAAATGAATGCTCCAATCACACTTGCTGTATGCGCTTATCAAAACTGGCAATTAAAAGACGACGAGATGTGCTTACAAATCCCAATTAGAGAAAGAAAAAAAATCTGACATCGGTCCCCGCCCCCCCCCCCCCCCCCCCTCGAAGAGAAAAAATATTATAATAACAAAATAAAATAACAATAATAAAATCAAAACAAATGAACAATTGAGGGGTTGGAAGTCATGTTATGATAAAAGGGCGTGTTGTATTTTCTCTGGTCAATTCTTTTGCGCTCATTATGCAAGTCGAAGAAAGAATGAAAAGGATCCGCGGATGTGTTAAAGGGCATTGTTGGGGGTCTACAAAATGGAAATCTAAAGAATTGTTAAAGCGCCAAAACGTTGCACAAACAAATCGTAGTTGAAAACTAGCCTAACAGTATGATTGCACAATATTCGTTATTAGATTTTTTTTAATTTGACTTTTACAGCTGGCAGTGTTTTATCAAAACCATGTGTTGTATACAACTTGAGGGCATTGATATTCACCTGCAGAGAAAAAACCCCACACAGTCCTTCAATCTGAAACTTTGCAATTACTTTCATTAACTCATCGTTTTGCTACAGGTACAATTATTTTTAGTTAAGTTTTTCTCGGGCTTCAAATCCCCGAGAGGTGATTTAAAGTAACTCGGAAACATTGCCTCAGATTCTAAAACAAAATCCTAGATTAAGCTCATACTGCAATGATAATTATAAACCTTTAGGTCAGTCAGGAATCCCATTACAAGCCGATCGCCTGCCTGATTATCAAGATATTTATTATTGGAAATCGAAATTTCATTTTTCGTTTTCCTAACGGTTTTTAGAAGACTACAGTCTACTGAAAAAAAAATGAATCACTCAAATATTTCTACTTTTTTGAGGCACTTCATGATTATTTTAAAGCGCATTTTTTTTTTAGGGCTTCAATATTACACCATTATCACAGACACCGATAACCCGTATGCATCTCAGATTTAACATTGTTAAACGATGCCTTTAAAGGACAATCTAACGGTTTAAATAAATTCATTTGTATCAGAGCAGAAACATCAGAGAAACTAAATGATGAAAGTTTGAAATACGAAATAACTGAATTCATACGAACCTCAGATTGGCAATTTGGACAGTTTTGCTGATCATGTTTTTATCCTATATAGATATGTTTCAATAATTATAGCAAATATTTAAACAAATCTGTAAAACAAACAAACAAACCAGGTAATTGAATTATTATATATTCCTTCAATTTAATTCAAATGTTAAGAAGACGACTAACGGTATTTAATATCAAATCAATGATTGTGTTAACACTTTATACCAATATTCTGCTATGTTCCAAATGCTCCACAATCTACCAAGGGTTAAAGAAGAGGCAAACATGACACTTTGGGACAGACCTGACTAAATTCGTCAAGAGAGTTTTTGCTAAATTTGCGCCCAATTTAAAAAGTGAAGAAAAAGCCAATTATGTCTATCAAAACACCCCATTAATCCTGCTCTGTCTTGCAGTCATAGACGTGGGGTGCGGGAAGGGGGTGGAGGGATCTGGGGCTGGCTCCCCCAAGTATTATACATTTCAATTTTTCGAGCAACGATCGCCTCGAATTCGGCAACAGCATGCCCCTAAATCCTCATACTTGGATGCCAAGGCCCCATTCCAATAAAAAACTTACCGTTGATGGTAAGTTTGCAATCAATCAGCCAATCAAATCAACGTTTCAATGTAAGCTACTATTAACGGCAAATTCAACATCAACGGTAAATTTAATATTATCATCCATTATAATAATGTGTGTGCATTTCATCCCCGATTTATCTTTCTTGACATTTTATTTTAAATACAATATATGTCACTATAAGTTTTTTTTTAATGCGGTAGATCGGTCTCGCAGAAGGCATTATTCTCGAAACCGCGTATTTTTTTGGTTTCTTTTTAATTACCTCCACACAAATTTCAAAATTTCGCTGCACTATCCACTGCCTAAAATGCATTGCATTATCTGAATAGATTTATACTGTTCAAATTCATTAACAATTCCCTTTATACCTTTTCCTTTGTGTGCCAACCTTGCCCTTACAAACGAACGTAATTCTTTTGACTAGACAATGTTTGCCTTTAACATTGTTGATTTGACCGTGTTCCTTACGTTCCCATCCTTTGCATCTGCCACCATCGCAATATCAAAGGCATCGTTTAAGAATGTTAAATCTAAGATGCATGGCCCTACGTGTAATTAATGTATGTGGTATGGTGTAATATTGAAGTACTACAAAAAATGCGCTTCAAAATGATCATGAAGTGCCTCAAAAAAGTAAAAGTCTTTGAGTGAGCGGTTTGACCATACTCATTTTCCCCATTAAATGGATTGTAGTAATGGACTGTTATAAAGTAATAACTCCTTTCCTTAATAGATAATTAAAATGTCCTTTCTCAAAAGCCCCCTTCAAACTACTTCGGACCTAAATTCTGAATAGAATCCCAAGCTTAAACCATCCAACCGTATCGCTTTATTAGGTTTCATGATTGTTATCGCCTAGTAATCTCTTCAATGTAACGAGCCCTTCGCAAACATCCGCTTCGTTAGTATTCAGGCCTGGTGTTTTTACTTCTGCAGTATATTGATCTAAATAGCTCTTCATTACACTCATGTCTTGAGTAAAACTTCTCAATGAACTTTAAGACTCTGATCTTGTCGTACTCAAATTTTCACAATCCTTAAACTAGAGATAAATTGTTTTGCACCGTTTCTTTTTTCTAAAACTAAAACAAAATTGGATTTACTTTCCCCTTCTTCAAACTGAGCTAACCTTGCTATAACTTTAGCACTATAACATGAATATTTGTAATACGCATTTAAATTCTGTTTGACACTATTCAACTCTTCTTCTTGTTCTTCGTTCCGTTTAGAAAACTGGTTTCGATTATAACATTTTAAGTTGTTAAAACTTCTTGTGGTTCCTAAAAAAACGATAACAAAACTAAGTTTTAACGATATGAAGATCGCTATCCAATTGAGACTATAATTGACAACTCTGTCTCCCTATACCCAATTGCATGTATGAGCTTTGTGTCCTAAATTCAAATGTTCATAGCTTTGTGTATTACTTATCTGGTCGTTCTTTCTCTTTCTTTCTTCATCTCCCTTAACCCCCCCCCCCCCTCTCTCTCTCTCTCTCTCTCTGTCTGTCTCTGTCTCTCTCTCTCTCTCTATATATATATCTCTCTATCTCTCACTCTCTCTCTTTTGATAACCCAGCTCGTAAAAATGTAGAAGTGCTATGGCCCAGTGGCTGGACTGTGAACCATAAGGTACGGGGTTCGAATCTCTATCGCAGCACTAATGTCCTTTGGTGAGATATTAATCTACATTTGCCATACTCCGCCTAGGAGAGAGGTGATGGGGGTACGTATCAGGACAATTACTCCTTAGGCAATAACACCCAAGTCAGGCTAATTACCAGCGGGACAATTACCCCCTGGACAATCACCCCCGGAAAACTACCCCAACCACCCCCTAACACAATTACCCCCTAGGACAACCCCCTTGGAGAATTACACCCCACCCCTGAAAAATACCATCTAGGACAGATATCTCCCTCTCCCAAGGACAACCAAGAACAACCACTCCGAGGACAATGTTCATTAAAGGGGAAGTCTACCCTGATTCTAAGTTGGTTTAATAAAAGCATTATTCGGGGGTAATTGTCCTCGCGTGGGGGGGGGGGGGGAGTGATTTTCGAATGGGGTAATTTTCAGTGGGGTAAATTTTCTTGGGTGTAAGGGGGAGGGTTAATTGTCCTGGGGGATTTTCAGGGGGTAATTGTCCCGCTGGTAATTGAACCGATGGAGTGACTGTCAGCAATTTATTCCCTAGAAATACATGATCGTCATTAATATTAGTCTCGTTATTAATTGTTATCATTATTATTAATATCGATATTACTGTTATCAATTAGTAACATCATCATCGTCAACGTCATCCTCATTATCATTTTAAAAACTGAATAAAAGAAGAAGAAAGAGAAATCTTTCTCTTCGGCATCTACCAATGGGTGTGGCAAGGTCTTGACGTAATACGCCATGCATGAGAAACCACGGCTCATTGTCTATCCCGCCGTGATTCTCTATCAAAATTATTTCATGACCGTGTGAAATTGCACACACCCATTACGTGCGCAGACTCAGGAGAAAGGCTCCTACAAATAACTTTACAATACCCAAATTAGTTCAAGCACCAGGGCGTTGTAACGCACCCAACCGGCAAGTTTGGTCAATGCTCTGAGAAATATAGAGATATATTGTAAAAAGTGAGATGAAAAAAGACTTTCTACCGTTCAAAAGCAGAACTGTCTAAACTAGCATAGAACAGCGGACGAGAAATGTAAACTTAGTTTAAGGAGATAAAGGTGAACTTTTTAAGTATAAACTTTAAGGATAAGTTTGAGTGCAAACTTGAGGAAATCATTTATCTTGGACGCTATCACGGAGAGGCATTACTATATTGACGGATATTTTTCACGGGGTTTGTGTAACTTCTTGCAGGTTGTGGAATTAATACCGAAGAGAAATGCGCGGCTAATAGATTGTGAAGATTGGACACTTTTCATGATCGAGTATCCCCTCGTCTGTTCGTCTGTAAATGAAAAAGGTAAGTACTTGATTATTGACAGTGGTGATGATGACGATGATGATGATGACGATGATGATAATGATAATGAGGATGACGATGCTGCTGATGATGATGATGGTGATGACGATGACGATGACGATGATAATGATTATGATAATGAGGATGATGATGATGTCGATGATGAATATGATGATGACGATGATGATAATGATTATGATAATGATGTCGATGATGAATATGATGATGACGATGATGATAATGATAATGAGGAGGGTGATCATGACGATGATGGTAATGATTATAATAATAATAATAATATATATATATATATATATATATATATATATATATATATATATATATATATATATTATATAAATATATACTGTCTTTAGAGGGTCTGGTACAAACTATTGGCAAGAGCTGAATTCCATATTTTTAACCAGTACCTCGAAAAGAAGGCAGCGTATGTTTGTTTTATATCCTGAATCAAAAATGCATTTTATCCTGAATCAAAATATTGTTGTATCCAGCATCAAGAATACGACTGTAGCTCATCGAAGGAGTTGCATGCTGGAGGCATTTGAACATAGGACAGACATTAGTTCGCAGCATGTGTGGGATATATGTTATTTAAAAAAAAATCGTGATTATACCATTATGTTTGCAACAACAAAAATCAGAAACGAAATGAAAGGAAAGATTTATTTGAAAAAAAATGTGAAATATTGCACGCTCAAGTATGCAATGGAACGAAGAACAAGAAGAAGAGTTGAATAGTGTCAAACAGAATATTTAAATACGTCTAACAAATACATGTGATAGAGGTAGAGTTAGAGCAAGGGTAGCTCAGTTTGAAGAAGGGGAAAGTTATTCCAATGTTGTTTTACTTTAACAAAAAAGGGTGCAAAACAATTTATCTCAAGTTTAAGGATTGTGAAAGTTGGGGTACGACAAGGACAGAGTCTTAAGCAGGGCTCCCACTTAGCCGAATTGGAGCCTCAAATTGTGGCGAGCTGGCGCAAGCTTATGGCAAGCCGTTTTTATCATTAAAACATATTTCTTGATATCAAGAAATAATTTTACGTTGTAAAGCGTTGGTAATTCTTGATATCAAGAATTAGATTTCGTGATATTAAGAATTGAATTCTTGATATCAAGAAATATGTTTTAATGATAAAACGGCTAGCCATAAGCTTGCGCCAGCTCGCCACAACTCGAGGCTCCAACTCGGCTAAGTGGGAGCCCTGCTTTTACTCAAGACTTTATAGGTCAATTGAGTGTAATGAAGAGCTAATAGATCAATATACTGCAGGAGTAAAACCACCAGGCCTGAATAGTAATGAAGCGGATATATGCGAAGGGCTCGTTGCATTGAAGAGACTACTGGGGCGATAACAATATTGTGACCCTAATAAAGCTTTATTAGGGTCATGATTGTAGGATGGTCTATGGTTTAAGCTTGGGATTCTATTCAGAATTTAGGTCCGAAGTAAATGATCTAGTTCTTAAGTTTGAAGGGGGCATTTGAGAAAGGACACTTAAATTATCTATAAAGGAAATATTTATAATAATTTACTACGAGCTTTTGACTCGTAGGAATATATGTAATGTTTGCCTTTATATGGTTTTAGGTAATACAAGCTTATCAGTTGCAGTAAATGGAAGGTTTACTGGCAATATTAAACCATCTAGAGCCAACCTTCCAAAGCTCGCGGGCCACAGCAAACGATTGGCATAACTTGGCGGGCCGTAGGTAGTCTTCTCCACCCCCCCCCAAAAAAAAAAACACTCATACAATACGGGTACACACCTGCAATTTTGCATAAATAAACAAGCAAACAACAAAAGCAGTGGAAATAAAATCAGGCTTACTTTTTTAGTGTGATTTCTTGGGCTTGCACTTTTCTGCTATGTTGTTAACCTTCATTACATCCTCTGGTGACAAATGAGGCAAAGTGGTTCAACTTTCTCTTCTATGAAGAAATAAATCAGAGACCAATCTGATTTAAAGTTTCTGCCTTCATCAGAAACTTTCCTTTTCTTCGCAGGTCTCGAAGTCGGTGCCATGTTGGTTGTTATTTCAAACAAAGGGAGACAGCAGAAAGAATATCCTATCTTTATTAGTTGTACACTGTTCATCTCATTGAGCGCGGTGTAAAGGGAAGGAGACTGTCCAGTTTACGATTAAGATTCTTAAGATTTGATGAGATAACCACCTTTCAGGTACCATGCAGGGAGGTTTAAACCCTCCCGACCAAACTAGGACAAATATGCTTTAACTTACCAGCCCTGGACAAAAGTGCTCCTATTACATTAAGGTTTATGCCTGTTTTCTTTACAGTCTCTTGAATTAATACCATTCCACAGCGAATGTACGTTTCTGTTATCTTTTCATGGTACTTTATTCCTCTCATCACAAAAATTAAAGCTTTAGTAAGCTTTCATGGGTCTTATAATTTTTCCTTGGCTGTGCGTCGTAGGTTGAAAAGGTATTACCTGACCAGACTTTTAATAGTTGCATCGAATTCCATGGCGTTAAATATTGCCTTGAACTAGTGACCGTAAGTAAATTGACGACAAACAAATTATATATGGATGAAAATATTTTCTCCTGAAGAACACGAATAATTTGCTGAAAAATCATATAGATATCATGGAAAGGCATGAAATGCAATTTTTTGGCTAGCTGTGTCTCGCATGTGACGTCACGAATCTCGAAGCTCTACGGAGGCCCGCCGAAGGCAGAAAATCTGGATCTCAAAATTACATTTTTTGAGAGATTATTACCGCTGGCCCAAAACATATTTTGACGAGGGAAGTTGTTATATTTGATCAGTAATAAGGCTTCCTCTTCGCAATGATATGAATTTTGCATCAATTCAAAACACTTAAGATTCTTCGGGTGACTACAGTGAGTGGGAAAGAGTTGTGTGAGGCTTGTCTTAAAGGTAAAGGCCAGTTTTGGAAACGCCCCCCCCCCCCCTCACCCCCATCTCAAAAAAATTAAATGGAAGTTCTTATTACCAATCATGTGAGAGAACAGGTTTTGACTAATACGTGATCATACACATTTTGCCGAGAAACGCCTACCAATTGATATATTTGGCAAATTTTTATATCTATTTGGACCTGATAGATATAACGAACGTGTCGCGCACGTGTCGGGTAGTCCCATATTCATCTTTCTGTGTACAGTGCATGTAACTTTACCAAGACTGGGCCACATTTCTTATCATTTTGATGATTCCAGAACCTTGCAGTACACAGCAATTTACTTATATGATAGATGATCAACCTTTTCTGATCGATTCCACAACGTTTCTTTCACAATGCAATAGCATGACCATAACTGGTCTTTAACTTTAATCATGAAATCAAGTTGAGTGACTCAACAAGCTTTATATTCCCACACTACCTTCGCAAATGTTATTTCATGCTCTGAATCCACAATGTTTAGGCAAAGAAATTATCAAAAAGTAATTATCAAACCGATGGCTCAAGACCGAAGAACTTAGAGAGACACTTGATATACAATTTTGATTGGGTCACTGAACCTGTCATAAACTGACAGATCACTATTGATGATGATAGTTAAATACGTCTTATATATCCTTACTTCAAACCAACTTGATGATAAGTTTACAATGCATTGCAATGTATTTTCTTATTCCGTTCGGTTTCATTTGGGCATTGAACGGTTGAATGAAATTTGTGGAATGACATTAAATTGCCCATTTTCGTGTTTGTGCGTTGTTTTTACTACTACTAATAATAGGTCAATGTATATAGCGCAGCTAATATATATGAATATACTCTACTGCGTTTAATACAAGGTATCATATTATTACCCACTTATTAGCTTAGCTGCCATAATAAGGCGCTAAAGCATTCAAGGAATTTCTTACTACCGGGTATCCGTTTGCATCACCTGGGTGGAGGGTGGCAAATGTAGATTAATGTTTTGCCAAAGGACATTAGTGTCGCGGCGAGACTCTAAACGCAAACCACGTGATCTACAATCCGGTGACGTATCTTTTAGACCACGGCTTCTTACAGTCTGGACCGCGCTTCGCATCCGTTACAGGACCGGGCAAGCCAACCCGGTACGCCTGGGAGAGAGTCTCCAAATGCCTTATTCTAAGGAGAATGAAGAACTTTGAGAGTGTCAAGGAATTTTAAAGGAAATTTAAAGAAAATTTAAAAAACCCACGAAGGAATGTAATAAATCCTGAATAGTGAACATTTTCACCATTTTATCATTATATTTGTTTAGCTTTCAAAATAAAGAGAAGGCGGGAAATGGTAAAAGAGAAAAAGAGAGGTAAAGGAAAAATAAATGAAGAGAGGACAGAAAAAAGAGACAGTAACGGGCAGGCAACGTACTAGATAGGATGGAAACCAAACCACAGCCCAGGTTATGTGGATTGCCTGCATCAACGTTTGTTGTATATAATTTGAGAGAGTGTGAGGTCTATGTAGTTTAAGCTTCTAACAACCACTCCCGTCAATTGTTATCTCTCTCTCTCTCTCTCTCTCTCTCTCTTTTGGCGATCATGCTGTTCCACAACCCTCGGCTCCTAGCCTTCTGTATTAGTACCACTCCCAGTTCTTTCACTCCTCTCTCTTCCAACAATTTCCGTAGACTGTCCATCCAAAGTATCCTCCTTCTTCCCCTACTTCTTCTTCCCACAATAGTCCAGTAGACGGTACCATAGACCATGTACATGACCTGGAAAAGTTGATAAGTACAAGGTTTTTTTGTTGATTCGTGTTCTAGATGGGTATTGAAGTAATTTCAGCTTGGTTGCCAGCTTGGCAACCTTGAGCAACTTTTTTATAGCCATATTAGCATAATCATCTAATTAGCATATGTGCAATTTGTGATAATGTTGCTACTCTCAATCCAGGGAGCATGGAAACATGGATAATACGACTTTTCAAAGGTTTTATATGACAAGGAATTCATTTATGACACCAACTTTTATTTTTAAGTAATACAATTGTCTTAAATAGCA